AAAATGATTAAAGGAACGAACGAACGAACGCGAACGAACGAACGAATGAACGAACGAACGAACGAACGAATGAACGAACGAACGAACGAATGAACGAACGAACGAACGAACGCGAACGAACGAATGAATGAATGAATGAATGAATGAGTAATGATAAGTGCAAAATGAAAACAAAATAAATAATGAATTTATTTAACCAAAAGAATAAAATGAAATCTTATTTGTCGCTCCATCCTTGCCAACGGATTCAATGGAGGGAGAGCAGGCAGTGCGTCAGAAGAGATTTCGCAGCGGCATTCACTCGCATGCATCGAGTCTGGCTGCCAAAGCCAAAATTACAGAAGAGGCCAGTCATCTAATTTCAATAGCGAAACCTACCTAATATTTAAGAAACATTGAAACCAAACAAAAACCAACAAAATGAAGAAAAAGATGGATGGATGGAAGGATGGATGTTTAATGGTACGTAAGGGAAACACACGATACCGCATCTCTCTGTACACTCGAGCGTACACATACGTACAACATTTCATAAACATCAACAGATACTCACATATTACACACACACACACACACACACACACACAACACACACCCAGACAGACAGACAGACAACCGAACAAACAAATCTTTAGCAGATTGATAGAGCACGTACGAAGGCATTTCGTGCAGATTAACAAGTTTGCTTAGTAAATATTTGTTAAAATACTACAACTAATACCACCAAAACTACTACTACTACTGCAGCTTACTACTGTTACTATTACTACTTTCGAATCTACTGCGACCAACACTCACTAAAACTCACTGCTGCATCTGCTGCCACTGAAGCTGCTGCTGCTACTACTCGCACAAAATGTTGAAGCGTTATTATAGGCAGCATTTGTGAAAAGGTTAGCGTGTGTGGTGTGGGAAATAGTCGATGAATGAGTGGGTGGATGAAGAACAGATAAATGTTTGAATGATTGAAAGAAAAAAAGGAATGAATGAATGAATGAATGAATGTCAGTTGAAATTGCATCATTTGCTCTTCAAATTGTTTCTAGATGTTGAGTGTTGTTGGTGTTGATTGGTACGTTTGTGTGTGTGTGCGTGTGAATGCTGGTGTGTGTGTTGGTGTATGTGTGTATATACATGCATGTACAAACACGCACATTCATTCACACAGGAATAAAACACACACACGCACGCACGCACACACACACACATAAGTACAGGTATGCAAAATAATTCAGACATCAACCCTGGCAAAAGAAATATGAATGAACAAAAGCCTATAATTATATGCAAATATATAAATTCCACAGACACACACACACACACACACACACATTATACAAATGTTTATATATATCTTTAAAAAAACACGTACACAATTAAATGTACATTACATACAAATGATACACACATATACGTACGTACGTACACGCACGCATGTTGAATTTTGCATATGATTTATTTTTAATATATAATTAATAATATAGAAATAATATAATTTTTTCTAAGCTATTTTACGTTATGATGACAACCGAACGTTTAATAAATTTGGGCATTTTCGATGTTTAATATTTAATAATAACATGCCTAATTTTCCAAGCATGTTTAATCACTTCATTCCTAAATGTGTGTGTAAGGTGTACGTGTGTATGTATGTGTACGAATGTATGTATGTATGTATGTATGTATGTATGTATGTATGTATGTATGTATGTATGTATGTATGTATGTATGTATGTATGTATGTATGTATGCGTGTGTGTATAGTTGAGATGTTTGTTGAAGTGTTGGTATGTCCAGATGATGTTCAACTCTGATTTATTTGTTTGTTATTTGTGTGCTTATTTGTTTCTCCTCTTTCTATTTAACATTTCTTCAACGAGCATCGAACTTCACACGCCAAGACGTCCAATGAATACGTCATCATCACTTCACCGTCAACACTTCTTATCATCATCATCATCACTATCTTGTGTTTCATCATCATCATCATCATCTTCATCGTCATCATCACCATGACCACATTATGGAAACTAATCATCCTCATTAGACAAAATTATTATAATAACAATTATTTCCATCCCTCCATTTTTTCTTTATCTTCCTCCCTTCCTTCCGGCTTCTTTTTTTTTTCATTTCTTTCAATCATTCACGACGGCTGCTACAATTAAAAATGAAATGGTATGAACGAACGAACGAACGAACGAATGAGTGAACGAACAAACGAACGAACGAATGAGTAACTTTATACATACTCGTCATCAACAATTGAACTAACGTATGAACAAACGAACGTACCTATGAGCGTGTGAACGAATAAATGAACAAACGAATGAACGAATAGATAAATAATGAATGAATAAAGAAATGAAAGAACAAATGAAAAAATGAATAAATGAAAGAATGAATGTTATTTCTGTTATTACCGAGGTCTTAGTACAGTATAACCAACATCTGCACGTTTTTGTACGTTGTACACACACACACACACACACAGACACAGACACTCACACATACACACACACACACACACACACACACTAATTATACACAATTATACTTATATACAAATTGTACATATATATGCACAGCACATACAATAAACCACATACATCAAGAATCAAGAAAGCCGATGATACTAATGTTTAAGTTTGTGTGTGTGTGTGTGTGTGTGTGGGTGTGTGTGTGTGTATTTGCGTGGTGTTCTGCAAGAAAGTGTGCAAACAATTAAGATGTGAAGAGAGGTATGGATGGAGGATTTTTCAGTCAGGGTGAGGGATTACAAATTAGGCAAATTATTATAACTTAATTATTATTATTATATTATTCATAATGTAGCTTAATTAATAATATTAAAAACTATTAAATGATGAAATCATTTTAAAAATCCATCACAAAGCCATAAAATGCGAATTGAAATGTCGGGTTCAGTTGGGCTAACATGATCTAGACATAAATATTCATTTTTATTATAATTATTACTACAACTAACTACTACTATTATTATTATTATTATTATTATTATTACCAACGCAACAGAGAATGATGTTACTATTAAATCACAATTCTGAACGCTTATCGAGCCAACAATAGCATAAACATTTTATTTACGAATTATTTATTGCTCTCCTGATTATGAATACCACCACCACCACTACTACTATTACTACCGCTACTACTACTACCAATATTAATACTACAATACTGCTGTTACTACTAATACTACTACTAATACTAATACTACTACTACTACTACTACTAGCGATGCAAATATGAATCTGGAACGTTCACAACATCGGTGGTGATGATGGCGGGGGTTCCATGCAACTCTCTCCTCACTCGTCGAACTGGGGCAGACATTTGTGGATTCTGAAGGCGTGCCACATGGCATTCATTCTTTTGATGAGTTCCCATCACATATTCAACCAATTGCCAAACGAATCAACAACTAGCCCATCATCAAATCAACCGTTATTCAATAAGTCAATCAATCAATCAATCAAATAAACGACCAACCAGCCAACCAACCATGCAACCAACCAACCAACCAACCAACCAATCGATCGTTTCAAAAGAGCTTATTAGATTTTGTTATGAAACATTTATTGGCTGACGATTCATTCCTCCTTTCAATCATTCATTCGTTTATTTTTTTAGTTCTTTCACTCATTCATTTACCTATTTATTCGTTCTTTCATTTTTTTTTGCATTCATTCATTCCAGCCATTTTGATTGATTGATTTGTCAATTTGTCAATCATTTTGTCATTCATTCATACATTCTTTCATTCATCAATTCATTTATTCATTCATCAATTCACTTATTCATTCATTAATTCATTTATTAAAATGATGCGGTGGTCATGGTGATGATGGTAGTATAATATAATGGTGGAAGTACTTAGCTTAAATAAACAATGGATTGTACGTTGTTTATGTTAATGCACGCACAGAGAATTTAATGCAATTCAACGTTACAACGCTGTCGTTCGTTACTACCATCATCATCATCATCATCATCATCATCATCATCATCATCATCGTCATCATGATCATCATCATCGTCGTCGTCGACGTCGTCACCACAGTCGCCACTGTAATAATCGTCATCATCATGACTGACTAGTTAACGAAGAGAAGTATCATAGTTATTTATTTCAGGCACCAGCACAATTAAG